AACTGATGTTGCTAATATAGTGCTATAAATCATTTAAATATAGACCTTAAAATTGAGAAATAAGAATCTAGAAATGTAAGAGATATTTCAGTGTACTTGTATTCAATAATTCATGTTCTATATACACTGAGAACAGTCAAAAACAASAACAGTGTTCACTACAATTTGAATCTCCCGCCATTTTGTTTGAAGGCGCTCATAGGTGCAAGTTGTGGTTCTTGAAACAGTCCTTGCAGATTTGCAGTCCACACTTCTCATATCCTTGCGTGCAGAACTTAACTCTCTTGCCCTTCAAGCAGAYTTTACAGCGGCCTTTGGACATTTTYACTGGCCAATGTCCCTCTTGGACAGCACCTTCCACTACACCAACCTTGCGAGAGGAGAAGCCATTCATCAAACATTTGACCAGTTCAATCCGGAATGAAAGCTGTGTAAGGGTGGGATAGTTTGGGGCCAACTTCATAAGAATATAAGCATTGGTAACGCTTACATCGATAAAAAACCAGAATAGGTATCGCCACCACTTTGTTGCTCTTCAAGTAGTGTTATAGTACTGTCGTAGTTGATCGGCCATGTCCACTCCTCCCATATACTTGTTGTAGCTCTTGACTACGGGAAGCGAAGGTACTTCGATGAAAGTGCAATCTTTCTGTTTCCTTCTCACTGTTTCGTTTCCAGTAGCATTACAGTGTGAAGTGATAAATGCTACCGCCTTTTTGTCCTTCCATATTGTCGCTACAACATTGCCTTTGTGTAAAAATAAAGACTCTCCTCGGCGAAGGCGCTTGATCTTGTTCTTGTCCTTCAGCTCTTCGGGAAAGTCTTTACGATTCGATCTTGCCGTTCCACAGCAGTAGAGGTMGTCCTTTAGAAGGTCCTCGGCAAGAGTAACTGATGAGAAAAAATTATCAGCAAATATGTGATAGTTCTTTCCCACCAGTTTTCTAGTCAGATCATGAACAACTCTGTATCCAAGCTTGTGTTCTGTGGTGCCATCTTGTTTGCCAGTATAAACTTGGAACTCGCAAACAAATCCATTTTCTGTGTCCGCACATATCCAGATCTTGATCCCTCTTTTCACTGGCTTCATTGGCATGTATTGCTTGAATCCAAGTCTTCCTTTATACTTTACCATTCCTTCATCAATGCTGGCATTTTGTGAAGGACGGTATTCTTCATCGAAGGTTTTCAATAGTGTGTCRAGAAYGGGTCGGATCTTGTGAAGCTTATCRTGTTGCTCGTGTCCACGGGGATACATTGTCTCTCTATCGTTWACATGGAGATATTGCCGAATTTTTTCAAAGTGGTTTCGACTCATCACCTTCTGAACTTCAGGCACGCCGATGAGAGGATCTTTTGACCAGTACATTCGGGTTTTGGGAAGGGTCTTGATAYCAAAGAAGATATTGAGAGCAATAAATGCTCGCATCTCTTCGACCGTTGTGTCGTACCAAGACTGGTCAGGCTTAACTCTTATGCATTGAGATGCATATCTGTTCGTTTCTAAAACTATTAGGTTGAACAGATCTTCAGGAAACATCAGTAGGAAGAAATCTAGTGCAAATCCATCCGCAGGAATCATAGAAGTGGGGCCCGTTGGTTGCRCAAAATCTGAAACATGGACTTCGCTCGAACTTTCCTCACTGCTAGTTTCTTCGTTCTCAGAAATATCTGATTCTTCAGCTAAAGAAACKTTTTGTGCTGCTAGATCTTCAGTAGTAAACCCTAAAAAATTGCTGTCTTTACTATCGGTATCGCTAAAAATGTCCGCCATCRCTAAATCAAAACTCAAATTTGAAACTCGAAGATTGGRCAAAAGTTGTATGGACACCATATGTTTATTATGCATCAAATTAAAGCTCGATATGCCCTCTGATTGGCTAGAATACAAAGGCCYTGCTCTGCCTTTGTTTTTCATGCGTTCTGATTGGTTAAAACAGGTATACTTAGAGAGTGCCGTTTGGCACTCTTGGGATTTAGTGACGGTCACGGGAGAGTGCCATTTGGCACTCTTGGGAGTGAGAGGGTTAAGGTTTCTCTCAATTCCACKTCTGATGCTGAGAAGTGTATTTTTGGAGTAATCTTCTTGTTTACTGCGGACCTCGGCGTAGAAAAGTCGCAGTTTCTTGTCCAATTCCGCAAGTGACAAATCCTCCAGGTTTTCTTGATAGCCTTTTTCAGTGGCCYATTCCAAAGGAAGAAACAGATAATTTTAGTAGCAAATTATAATATTATCCATATTGATTTGTCATAATTTTTCTGAAATATAGAGGAATAACCATTCAATCTTTCGCAAAACATTTGAGTGTTGGCTGTTGCTAAATAACAATTTATTGTAAGATAGTTGTTGCAGTTTATTATCTTACGTTGTTTAGTGTCATAAATATTCTTGGTCATCCCTTTTTTAATAAACGAATTATAGTAGTACACATTTGGATAATGTTATTGTTTCTTTTTATTTACGAACCTTTGTACGCATTTACTGTGAAATTTGTAGAGCATTTTGTTGATTTTGCCTGGGCACGGTCGAGGAGTTTGTCAAGATTCTCCGAGATCAAGCTGGCAAATCTGGACTTTTGCTTTTTTGCTGGAGGCTCTTCTGGTGGTTCTACTATTTTTATGCTTCCTCAGGAAAGTCAAAGTCAAAGTCAGTGCTTGGAAAATGAGCCATATTCTTCTAATTTTACTGGAGTTATGACTATTTGTGTACAAGTACAACTTTCAAACAAAACTCAAATTTTCCTCCGGTGTTGACGCATGTCACAACGGTGTTTGCACAGGAGAATGCAAACACGGCTCTCGGCCAATCACAGCACACGTACTATCTGAATTATTTTATGAATAATTACATAATTTAGTAAATGGAAGTTTCACTTCGTTTCTAATTTTCATCCATGTGCCCCTTGAAATTACACCATGTAACCAAGCTTACTTCGAAGCATTTCATTTTTAAGTGGGGGGGAGGGGAGGAAGGGTTATTCGAAATATGGTACCAAAATGATATCAAAATAAAATGCTTACACTCGTATTGTTTCCAGAAGAAACAAATGACTCAGTGTTTCCTAAACCAGTCATAGCCAGGCTTTGCTGTTCTGTCCATTTTTCTGTTTGCGGACTAGTCCTCTTATAGAGAAAAGAGTGAAAGGCACAATTTTGGACTCAGTGAGGAGAATTGACTTGTAAAGAGCCTTCATAAGGTCTAGTGGCATATTTAGTATCTCTTCTTCCCTTCTTGTATTCTGATCTACAAGGTTCTTGTCATTTAGAACTTACCTCGGAGAAGCTGCCATTTTGTAGAGCACATATCCCATAATTCCAATGTTTCTACACGTTGAAACTTGACGTAACAACTGCTATGCTAAAGCGCAAAAAGGTTTATACCTCGGACGGCAAACGCCAACCGTGCAACGGCGGTTTGAAGTCRGCAGTAAGTGAAAAAGCCTGGTGCTAAATGTCTCTATTAAAGATCGGAACATCGACGAGCCGATCACATTCATCGAGGATCTGTTGRAATATGCCCAAGTAAATCAAGAGTCAGTACTACTGTTTGCTGCAGACTTCGAGAAAGCCTTTGATAGTATCCATCACAATTTTATTTGGGCAGCCCTTAACCACTTTGGTTTTAATGAACAGTTTATAAGGTGGATTCGTTTATTACTATATGATACAGGTAGTTGTGTCCTAAACAATGGTTCTGCGACAAAGGTTTTCGAAACAAGGAGAGGAACCAAGCAGGGTGACCCTATTTCACCTTACTTGTTTATTTTGGTGATAGAAGTAAAGAAGCAAGGTGACCCTATTTCACCTTATTTGTGTATCATAATTATTATAGAATGTCTGGCCTCCATGATGAGGCAAAATAAGGTTATTGAAGGAATTATTCTTGACAAAGATGCTAATATGAGAAAAGTTCTACTCCTTGCTGATGATATTTTCTTTYTGAAGACTAGTGCCTCACTAATGCGAACTTTGGAGGTACTTCATCAATCTCAATCTTATGCTGGACTTCGAATAAACTGTGAAAAGTCTGAAATAGGATGGCTTGGTCCAAAGAATAATGATCTTGCTAACTCGGAACATCGCGATCTTATATGGATTAATTTACATGAAGTGGGAATAGAAATCCTAGAAATTTATTTTTCTCATAACAGAGCGTATTATGATATAAATAATTATAAAAGAATATTTGAACATTCCAAAACTATTTTAACTATCTGGAAAGGTAGATCATTGACTCCTATTGGGAAAATCCAGGTGGTTAATTCTTTAGGTTTTTCAAAACTTTTATATGTATGCCCCAAGATAGGAGCCAGTGAAGCATTTATTAAGAAAGTGAAAGACGAAACTGTAAACTTCACATGGAATGRAAAAAAACCCCTAAGATAAAATATAACACCTTGATAGGAGCATACGATAAAATATAACATCTTGATAGGAGCATACGATGACGGAGGACTGAAACTGTTAGACTTTGGAAGCATGATTAAGGCAAGCATGGTTAAATGGCTTAAAAGGTTAATGGATGGAACTTACAAGTTTTGGAAGGTTTTACCCTTAAAAGAGCTAAAGCCGATAGGAGGAATTGAATGTATTCAAGGAAATTTTGATGTTAGTAAAATACTGGTTTTAGGTTGGAGGATGGGGTGGAAAAGGGTCTTTCAAACAAGGATTGGTTAACTTGGATGGGGATTATAAAGGCTTTACCAGCACCTTGGATTAAAACATTGAAAAGAAATCTCCGCTGTCCAATTGGGGCTCTTACTCTTACTAGAAAAAGGAAAGTTTTCGAACAGTTTATCAACTTAGATAAAGTAAAAACTTATTAAATGACTTAGGTGGCGAGTGTAATAATGAGAGTTAATAACCTTCTGATATATTTTCTAATATGTAATGTGGAGCCCCAATGCTAACCCAAAAAAGAAAATGACTCTTTAACCTTCCTTTTATAACTCAAGACTGACAGATTGTTTGTAGATGAAGAGGGCCATGGGTATGATTCTAGCTGCGCTGCTCTGGTCTTTTGTGCCTGTATGGGGGAACTCTACAGGTGTTGCTCCAGTGACCTGTGTATCCACAGGAGAAACAGATATCGTCTGGATGAGGTTGCCTACGGCCTTGGAATGAAAAGATGGGGAGTAAGGCTCAAAATGAATAAGAGAATAATTGACATCGATGAAAAGAAAATGAACCGCCGGTTTTGGTGAATACGATACCTGGATAACTAGAAACGAACTACATAAACCTTTCATAGAACTCCTAAGAGCACATGAATTCCGATATTTGCATACTCGTGAATATGAGAATGCACGTGCATTAAGTCTTCACACACTCCTTAAGAAAACACATAGTAAATCAGGTAAATAATCGATAAGTGTATCAGTTGCACTTTGGTTTCCCTGTGTTGTCAGGAGGACTGGTACCTAGTTGGTTCGTTGCTTCGTGAATGTCCTACGATAAGTGTCTAAATGTAGCTAATTATATCTTTGAAAATCTTGGTAAGATTTAGCCATCCTTATGTAACAATAATAATAAATATGTTCTTATATAGCGCATTATAGATTCTCAATGCGCTCAATGTAATCTTATTGTACGGCCTGTAGATGCATTTCTTAATTATCCTTTTTGTTTCCTAGCCTTATTCAGATTTTTCAGAGGGATTTTTCCTGATTTAGCTGGGTGACTTGTCATGCCAGGGACTCTATTATACGCTCTGAACACTCTAGTTTATCGTATTGTTATTGTACTGAAGAGATAGAAAATGAACGGGCATGCTATGTTGAGTTATGTAAGCACGCGGGAAATTGTGTGAGCCGAGAGAAGTGCTAGGAGTGCTTCTCGGCACTTCACAAGGGCTTACACAATTTCCCAAGTGCTTGTATAACTCAACATAGCACAAGCAAGGGGAGTTTTCTATCTTTTTTATAAAGGTCTGAAAGAAGAACTAGGTGTAGTGATATAGGTGTATAAAATCACCACTTTAGCACACTAATACACAGCACACCAGTGGTGACAGCTGAAAAGGACACAGTCAATTAAAGTTGAAGGTTTAAAAACCCATGTAAGTCATCCTAACAATGCTTTTTTTTTTGATTGACAATGAAAGCAATATTAGTAGAAAGGTCTATAAATGATAATTAAAAAGATGTTTATTATTCTATTCATCATTTACTATCATGATTTTCATTTGATGTTTCCTTGGTAACTAATTTTCGCACACAGTCCCTGCACTTTTGATTGCATATATCAACAATAAGTTGATGATTTCTTTGTACCTCTTTTCTTCCATAATTGGCATACAGGACCTCTGAAATTAGTTTGTTTTCTGAAAGATTAGGTAATGAATACATCTCTTGTGTCGTTATAACAATACATCAGGAAGAGATCCAGGATTTTTCAGAAAGGGACTTGCAGGGGTATTAACCCAATGAGACAGTATGTCAAAATAAATAAATAACATGGACCTCGCTGACTCCATTATTGTGCGATTCAAGCGTTCAGCCACGCCATTCTGTTGTGGGCTGTAGGCATTTGTAAACTCATTTGAAATGCCTTTGTCTGCACAGAATTGTGCAAAGCTCTTTGAGTCAAATTCACCTCCGTTGTCACTTCTGATTGCTTTAACTTCATTTCTTTCTTTGTGAATGTTCAATGTTCTGATGTCTTGTCCAGTTTGGTTTGTAACAGCATTAACATACTCCTTGAACTTGGCTACTGTTTCGCTCTTGCTTTTCAAAAAATAGACAGTGGTGTATCTCGAGTAATCATCAGTAAATG